TGGTTTACAGAAAAAAGGGTAAATATGGATTTGATTTCTATTAGCACTTTCTGCACCTTAGAGAACTTTTCACTCTGTAAAAAATTCATTTCTCTATAGAATGAATGTTCCTCTATTTGTTTGTTTTCATTCCATCATAGTCTAAGAACATTTCTCGAGAGATCATTGGTTGATATGGTATATTTGCTGCAACAAATTAATTCCTATTTATTTTCTAAAATGGTAAGTCAAAAAATGTTCCTCACTTTGTAGAGATAATAAACATGAAGAGGTCCGATTAAAGCGCACAGATGTCCCATGATGAATGTCACCCAACAGGCACAGTTATGAGTCTGAAGTGTGGACAAGCTTTCCGCATGAGATAATGCTGCGATCTGGGTGCAGACGCTGGGATATGAGTGAATATAAATCCCTCCTTTGTTTCAGAACTCAAACAAGAGCGATTGATAAACTACACAGTTGAACTGTCAGCCAAAACAAAGGTTCTGTGAAAATACGGCAAGTTTAATTCTACCAAATATGGGTAAAACAACTCCTTTTTTTTAGTGTTTCCGAATCCTTCCGGCCAGAGGCAGGGTTTCTCCAGGTCCTCAGCCACGGTCTTTTCTGGGGTCTGGTTTCCTGAGCCCTCACTGCTGAGGCCTTGGCCGGCTGCCGTCTTCCCCTCTGCGTCTCTCTCCCTCCCTCCTCCCACTTTCCCTCTTCAGCTTCTCACATTAGCTGGAGCCAGAGTCATGATCATCCCCAGCCACTGGGCCACCAGGGAGAACAAATCATGGAGAACACACAGAACTGTCCCAGCCCCAGGTGAGAACCTGCCCTGATCCGCAGCACCCCTGAGCCAGCTGGTGGTCCCAGGTCCTTCTGGGTGCACACGTCAGGGTCTTCATCGCCAGAGCTGCACCCTAGCAGGGGACGGAGAGGATTCCGTGGCTGGACAGAGCTACCTGTCTAGGGGACTGTGTGCCTGCCATTTCTCCATGAGAGCAGAAATCATGCTGTGGACACGCCATGTGAATTCAGGCCCAAGAGGAAACGGGAAACCCACAAACAGAGGGATGAGGAAGAGGAGGGAAAGAGCCGAAACCAGCACTGGGTGGTGGTGGTGGGTGTCTGATGGCAGAGGGAAGTTGGAAAGGCAGGAATTCTGCGACTGGAGAGAGAGAGAGCCAGCAGGCTCGGCGGGGTGCTCTGAGGAGCAGGAGGTAGAGGCTGCAATCGAGGCTGTGTGAGTGGGGGTGCTCAGAGGGACACAGAAAGAGGGTGACTCAAGTTCCCAGATGTGCCAGCTAGGACTCAGCCAACTCCTGCAGGCCACCTGGTAGCCCTCTGAAGGAATGAGCGGGGACAGGGGACAAGAACTGGCCCCTCCCTCTGTGTCTTCTTCCCTCAGTGAACTCAGCTGGAAACAGCCGAGCTGCAGTGCGATGGTTGGTTTGAGGTGGGAGGGTTAGGACAAGGTTTGCCTGACCAAGACAGGCCAGACCTGGACGGAGGAGCAGGAGAGAGGCAGGAGGAAACTGCAGGATGAAGGAGGCACTGGAGACGGCGTTTGGTGGAGGCTTGTTGGATCCGTTCTTACTGACTCTGCCGACAGGTCTTGGGAGGATGGAGAGACAGCCCTGGCCTGGAGGACCTGCGGTGGGTGGAGAAACAGTGCTTGCAGGGACTCCACAGCCAGCTGTGAGGTTCTTAAAGGCCGGAAGACGTGTTCCCATTTGAGTTTGAGAAAGAGGGACCTTGTGCAAAAGTAGATCTTCATAGCCCCCGAGTTCAGAGACATAAGGTGGAAGCAATGGACGCGAGGAACACACCCGCTCTGCTCTTCAGAGATCCAGGGCCAGGGGCACAGGGCATCACGTTCTGGAAGTAACTTCACACCTGTGACGATACATCCAGGTGCCCCTCGTGAGCGGGGCGCTGTGTGTGTCACCTGCTCTGATCCAGCCCTGTCTGGCAGCACGGGCCTTGGCTGATGGGGTCAGTCCCTTCAAGGAATAGGCTGCCATGGAGGGGTCCTTGTGTTTTTACCTACAGCATCCCAGATGGAAGAAGTTAGCTGTGTTAGGATTAATGTGTTCGATATGCAGGAAACTTTTTGTCAAATACAGTTCCTTAAAAGGAAGAAAGAAGCAGTGGTCTTAAAATAGTATGTTGGCTTTGGCTTCCCTCCACTGTTGACAAAGAGAAAAAGAAAGTTGATTAATCTTTTGTTGATGTCAACAATGTAATTCAATTGAACTTGGGCAGACAAAATTGTTCCTAGTAGCTGACACACTTCCAGTTTTATTTCCTGACAAAAGTGTCCCTTTTAGACCACACCCACACCTGTCCTATGAAGAGGGCTGGACTGGCATCCTTTATGCCTGCCATCAATGGTGGGACCCTGTTATTTATTGGAGGATGTTTCTACAGCCCCCTCTGGTTTTAACATGCCAGAATTTGTGCTTGTCTCTTGGGTTGGTTCCCAAGAGTCAGTTAAAGGAATGACTTAAAGGAGAACTGCACTGTCTGCATGATTTCCCCCACAGGACTTCAGAGCAAGAGGCTGTTTCTTTAGACAATATGGCAATCAGTTATTTCTCAAGATAAGATTGGTGATCCAGGAAAAATCTAGAAATAACTTCTACATCCTTTTTTCTCATTTTTCTCCTAGGTTGAAAATAGTTGAAAATAAACAATGCACACACATAAAATCTTCAAGAATAGGCGGTACATCTCTATTCCACTTATTTTTTTGATGTTCAAATATTAATCAAAAGTAGCATCCTTCCCATGAGAACAACTTTGGTTTTCTATTTTTAAAAATAATTTCCTTTTGATCTGTAAGTTCTGTGCAAAACAGTTATTATAAAGACAAATGGCTAATGGATACCTCCTGGGTACTGTGTCCACCACCATACTGTGTAGATAAAGTATGGCAGGCTACTCTTTAAAATGGCTTTCTCTGCATTTCAAGAGTGCACCATAAAGCACAAGAAACTGTTGGTTCAGACTCATTTCATTCTGTTGGACGTGACTTGGGTGCAGGGAGAGATATTGATGTTGAAGTCAGAAGTGGATCATTTCTGTGCTTTAAAATATGCATGTTAGAACCATGACTCTCTTGGTCGATAATGGAAAAGATAACATATTTTGTTTTGGTAATCATTAGGTATTCCCTTTATTTTAAGAAACCATAGTTCTTAGCCTGAATCTATCAATGATCAATTTTTTAAAAAAGATGCCTGAGTTTCTCCCTCACACCCCCTCCTCTGTCCCTCTCCCACCTCCTGCTGTTTACCCCACAATGCCCTCTGAGTGTAGCATGCACAGGCTGAAGGTCCAGGACTCTGCTCAGATTAGTCCTTGCCTGCAAGACATCTCTCTCTATTGCTTACAATTCAACCCACCACTCAGGGGCTTGATCCAGTGGACTTTGTCTGTAGGAAATCACCTTAGCATCCTAAAAGAGATAGCTAATATGCTGAACTTGAAGCAGCAATGAATTTAAAATATGGAGTTACTGTATTTGGCTATTTCAATTCTTAGTTCTGCTGTTCTGAGCAAATCCCTCCAGCTTTCCTGATATTACTTTCTTACCCCTAAGGAGAGCAGCCCAGCTCAAACATTTTTCTGCAACTATTTCTATGTTCAAATATATTGATTTGGAGTAATTTTTTTCTTAAAAAATATGGCAAACACATATAGAAGATGCAAAAATGTATGATAATGCACATTTCAATGAATTCCATTTTTACTAAATGAATGTATATTAAATGTGTATATTTATCCCTCATTTAAAAAAAATCTCCCTGAGAGAAGTGATTATTCTTACCACTTCCTTCTGTTTCTCTGGTTCACAAAAGCTGTCTTAGGACATGGCCTTTTTCCTGCATTTCACGAGGACAGGAGAGGTCATAAGGCCACCAGGTGAGCCCTGCAAGGTGGCACGAGTGGGTCCCTCTCCAGCCTTCCTCTTCTGTGTGCGGGCTCCTTGGTAACCTGAAGGGTGCCCCTGGGGTGCCGAGCTGCTGGGGCTCCCTGCTGGCCGACGTCAGGCTGGGTGGCAGGCAGCACGGGTCACAAGGTGAACATTCACTGAATTTATTATTTCCATGATATAAACCAAAAGTGTAATTTGCATTGAATATTTTCCAAACACCAGAGAGAATCAATTCTCCACAGACTGAAATAAATGTAAACAGGATGTGTGTCTCTTTTTTTCTTTAACCAATGTGGCAATTTTTATTTTTTCCTTTTTTTTTTTTTTTTTTTTGAAAATAATCAGAAATGCAAGATTTTATGTGCCTCGTGTTTGGAGCCACAGGACCGCCGGCTGCTCCTTGTTCATGGAAACATTCTGACCCTGGATTCATGAGCGACTTTCTGAGATGTTTCAGACAGATCAAAACGTAAGGGAGTACACAGCAAATTACAAGATGCTGTGATTTTCAAATTTGAAATCTTCATTACTTGGATCAGCAACTTGTTTTTATTATGCAAATGATGAGCAAGCGCTCCTACTCTGTCACACAACCTGATTTAAAGTCTTCATTTTTCTTTTTTGTATTTCTCATTAAAAAAAAAATAAAACAACTGTACTAATTACATGGCTTTAAAAATCAAGGACACTCTTCCTTAGGGGCAATTATGAAGGCAGCTTTGTAAATACGACACATTTTTTTATGGATCATCTATGTTCCATGCTGATGGTAGTAAACTGTGGTTTTAAATTTCTGATATGAAATATTCATAAATTTATGAAAGTGCGGTAATAAGGATCCAATCTGAATGAAGTTTTCTCGAGGAAGTAATTGGGAAGATTGAGAGTAAAGAATGAAGTAGGACGGTAACTGGGGGAAGACACAACTTTGCTGACGACCCTGACACAGATGAACCTTCAAGGCAAGGAAACGCCCTCTTCAGCCTGAACACTTCTGTGATGAACTTGACGCTCTGGTGACCACCTAGAAGTAAGCCTCACCGTCTAACGAGCAGCAAGTCCCACACCCTGCCTTTGAGGCCTTGCCTTCCGTGTTTCTTTGTGTCACAGGCTGAGCGGGAGGCTCGACCAGGCTGCCCCACCACAGTGGGAAATGAACGTCCCAAGTGTCACTTACTCTTATTTCTGCAGAGAGATGGCGACCACCCGCATCTTGACATGCACAGCGTGTAGATGAGGACGTTACATATTTGACTGGGTGGGTGACCCCTCATGTCTGTACCCATTCAGACACCCATCCTGTACATACGTTTCCTCAACTATTTGTTTCTGTGGTTTTAGGAATAAAATGGAGAAACTAAATTAAAAGAAACTAAATTAAACAAACTTTTGGCCCTACATAATGTGAAATGAAAATTTTTGTTAAGACTGAGACTCCTGAATCAAAAATGTCCTAAACACAACTCTATCGTTAGTCACCTGGGTTTACCCCCAGGCCAAGAAAAACCCGCTAGGAGAGACGCAGCTGGAAAATCCCAGAATCAAACATCCGGCCTCTCTGGGTTGACTCAGAGTGTTGGTTACTCCCAATAGTAGCTCATCATCTATTCTGTGTCCTGTCACCTGCCGTGTCCTGAAAAGTCAACAATAAATGAGAGACTTTCATCTTCACCTAAGGGAAAGGAGAACGTTCCCTCCTAGGGCAAATATATAATGTGGAGCCCCAGTGAGCAGCAAAACACAGAAGGCCACATGGTGGACCTAGACCAAAGCACCTCCCAGCGAGGGCACCGTTATCTGATTTTAGGAGTCTAGACGGTGTCACTCCACATCCCTTCACTGAGGGCTGTGTGACATCATCAGACACAGGCACGGTCACGTTTCTAAACCGCCCTTGCTCAGTGGAGTTCCCCCAGGGCTTGTCCCTTTATGAACTCAAGGTGGCCGTACCACCTCCGGTTGGTGCCATAATGTCCACAGACAAGGACAGATTGGCCTCCTTCCATGGTGCCCTTCATTCTAAATCCTAAGGTTCCTATCTGTACGTCCCTGCACATACGCACACAGAGCCCTCTCTAGACTCGCCTTACACAGCCTCACCTGGAGGTCTTCTCTGGCCCCATTTCCATGGACATTAGTCATTAGTCTGTAATGTAGGAGGAATCTTGCAACAAATAGTACGGATGGCTTTAAAGTTTGTGAACAGCAGAGAACAACACTCTTTCCCAAGTTAACCACGTTTTCAATATAGTTCTTAGAATGGTCTTTGGACAGGAACATTCCCATTGTGTTCTCTTCTATTCCTGCTGTTTGATCCCTGTGGAATTGTCACTGAGCCACGAGATCACTACATTTTAAGATAACGGCCTAAGGTGCTGCTCCCTGGGGCTAACAGGAGCAGTGGTGCAAGAGGACTCTGCTCTGTGGCTGAAGAGGAGGACTGCAGTCTCCCAGGGCAGCGATGGGCTCCTGGAAGTCATTGCTCTGCTGATTCAGAGCAGCTCTGGGGTCCTCCTGTGGAAGGCGGCAGTCTCTCGGGGTAGGTTTTACCTGTGTGGCTCAGGGGTCGCTTTCCAAACCCTCCTTGTCCTTGTCCTCAGGGTGGCTAATTTCTGGAGTATTGGGAAAGATCTCATTTATGAGCCAAGGTCTTCATTACCTTCTCAGGGGAGAAAGGCATCCCTCTTTGTTCCTGCTTCTCAACATCTTTTCTGTTCTCTCTGCCCCAATTTTTAAAAAATGTGTTTGTCCCTGTGGCTTTTTTCCACTGATTATTATTTTGTCCCACATCCTCTCTCTTGCCGTGAAGATGCTCTTGCTCAGCAGAATCTGAGCTGCTTTGAATGGTTCAACTTTCCATTTTCTATTAAATGCATAGAAAAAATTCTGTGTACTATCTATTTATAGGCATAGCACATTTAAACAGACATTGTAATATGGTATATACGATTTCTGTCATTTTCTAAAAACTTGTCAAAAATATTGGCTAATTAATGTGAATGAGACTTTAATTGATATGGATTAGGATTCGAGGAAACGTAGGTGATTTTGAAAACATCAATAAAAGATGCTGACTACGCCCTTCATTTGGTTCATATCTTCCTGTAACTTGGTCTCCATGAGCTATACACAGCAAAACATGCATATTCTTCTTGCTTCTATAATACAGGTTCAAAGAAACTGTTAAGAGTATTACGGATATTGTTCATGGTTATTTCAATTCACGAGGCTTTTGTAACATAAGTGCTG